GCAACCAATGACTGGGTGCGATGGCAGGGCCGGGTAGCAGAGACCAGTGTTGCTCCTGTGATCGGTTGCCGGCATAGGGAGGGCCAGGAGGTCCGCCGTGCGGGGATCGGCGCTGCAGAACGGTCTGTGTTCCCTAAATCCGACCTCTGCCTCATTCCTCAGCTGGCTGGCTCTAAGGAGCAGTGGACGATTCGGCCAACCTGGGTGACGGACAGACAGTAGCTAACATGCTGAATGCTTTGTGGACGCAGTAGTTGATCCTGTAAGTAGACGGATGACTGCTTTAGGTGGCTAGGGATCGCCATCCAGTCATCTGTTTCCTAGCTGGAGATTCATCTTATTCTTGAAGATCGTGTGTATCTCAGTTCCCCGACCTTCCTGCAGGCTCTTAGATCTGCTGGATCTGCTTTGTCTCATTGTTAGCTTTTGGCTGACCGTCATGTGTCGCAACCGGGATGTGATTGACGCCTTCGATCTGCATTTCCATTGTGCACTGGGTGCTGGTGGGCAGTGTGTTTATTTAGATGAGCGCCGAGTGCCAGCCGCCGGCCGGCGCTTGACCGGGTGGTCCCGGCCGCGGTGTTCCATTTCAAAACACACCAATCCAGATGTCAATTACCGCAGTATTTAAGGCGGCCGGCAAAGAAACCGACTCATTCATGGCAGGCCCATTTCGTTGATGGAGGCACCAGAACCCTCTCTCTTCTGTATTGCAATGTCCAATTGGGATTTGTCTGGTATTGGATATGTCGCAGTCTTTGTTTATTTATGCACTCTGCAGCCGGTCACCACCATGTCTTCGACGCTTGACGGTCCTTTCGGCGCCGTGACACTTGTTAATGAAGCTAATTAAAATGTCAATTAACGCTCTTGGAGTGTGTTTTGGCGTCTTGCTTTAATTAAGGCCTCCGCAGCAGCTTTTGTCCACATTTCTCATAGCAACGCATATCTTACTCTGAATGGCCTTGACCTTTGTTCTGAGGTCATGGCTTGTTATGCTCTCTGCCTGCTCCGAATGACCTCCGAAATCTCCATGTCGCCAATGTCACTGGGCCGGGATGTTGTTGGGCGGCTGCCATTTGACGGAACACTGCAAGCCTGCCCGTGCAACCCACCGGATGCGGTGACCATATCCCAGGATAAACTAGCCATGTTCTCAGATACTGTGGGCATTTCCCCGGATACAGCGCACATGTCTCCGGATACAGGGCACATGTCCCCGGATACAGCGCTCATGTCCCCGGATACAGCGCTCATGTCCCCGGAAACAGCAGATGCTGCACGGGGCTAGTGTAGTGTATGCATCCGATCCTTCCGCCACCACACAGCGCTCGGCCGGCTGGTCAGTGGTCAGATAGTCAGCAACCAGCCCCTTCTCCGTCTCGGTCGGCCGGATGATCGTCCCGGCCGGTCGGCATTCCGGGCCGGCCATTTTCCCACTGGGACCGTCTGTCTGCCGGGTGGTCTGCGCGGACCGTCATCAGACCACCCGGGCTCCCACCGTCCCGACAGCTTCATCGGCTGTGGGTCCGGCTCGCCGCGGGGACGGTAACCGGCCCACCGGGACAGGACGGGACGGCCGGCGGAGTGGCGGCGTGCTCCCCCGGGAACAGGTCGGCGCTCGGTGCCGGCGCGTCCCACAAGGTCGCCAGGCGCCGGTGAATGGGCCGGGTGCCGGTCCGGGACGTGTGGCGCCCGTCAGGGGCACGGCGACGGACCCACGGCGGCCGTATATGGCGACACAGAGCCGCCGCTGGCACCGGGCGGCCGTCGTGTTATCGGACCCGGCCGGCTGCCTTGTCGGAAACCCCGCTCTGAAGTAGAATGGACCCCGCACACCGCGGGTATGAGTCAGTGAATCGACTGGGTCGCAGAGTGCCACTGGTGGACCAGATTCAAGTGACATTGGACTGAAAGGGTTTAAAATATGGTCTGAAAAGGGTTTGAAAGGGGCTGAATACCTTTTGAGATGGACTACGACTTTTCAACAAAGACAATTTTTCTGTTCTTTGTCCTCGGTGATGAGCGTGAATAGAATGGGTATTGGGCTGCCATTTCGCGTGGCCCCCTGCAAGCTTGTTTCACCACTAAATGTTGATTTTCTGTATGAAAGACCTCAGGATGGACTGCATGACTTCACTATTGTTCGCGTGAGAGAGTTTCCTCTCAAAGTCAGCAGACCATGAGCCACAAGTCGGTCGTTAATCCCCGCTCTGTCTGTTTAGGTGAATAATTGCGGTTGGATCTAGCCAGTCGCTACAATCAACGAGTTTTACCCTCGGCAACCTCTAAAAATCGTGTAGGAAGTTGGCCACGTTCTTCCTTATGCTGGTTTGCTCCACGGCTGTTGAATCATATCGTATTCCTTGGTTGCCGGCCTCTTGTCTGATACTTCATCTGTAGTGGGGAGAACTTTACTGTAGCCGTCACATCTTCTAACTTGAACTTGTGAGCTGACTGTCCTGAGGACACACTAACGTGTTCAACAGGGCGGGTCTGTGTTGCTTGCCGTGTGAGATAAATATACGACAGGTCAGCCAGTCACGGTAGCTCGTTCCTGCCTGTCGTGTGGGCGGAAGCAGCAGTGGGGTGGGGAGGGGACGGATCTGTCTCCATCTCTCTGGGGTGGTGTCGGGGGGGGGGGGGGGGCCTGTCCGAGTGATGTGACGGGTCGGACCCCTGTCCTGTCTGTCGCTGTCTGGGCGGAGCCCCTGTCCTGTCGGCCGTAGCTGGGGCGGAACGTGTCAGTTGTGCAGAGGTAACTCCTGACAGGGAGCTCGGCGCACCGCCCCTCCCCACAATCTCTCCCGCCGCGGCAGTGAAGGGACGGCTGGCCAGGCGCCGGGCTCCCACGAGCCGATTCTCACGGACGCTGCCTGCCGAGCGGGATTCCTCTCTCAGCAGACGCCTGAATTACGAAGGAAATTAAAGCGTCAGGCCGGTTCCTGTGCGCGCTCGACCCCGGTAGGGTCCAGGAGATTACCCCAGCGCGGCGGGTCGGGGTTCGGGGGAGGTGAATTGCCAGCCAGCTGCTGGAAATAAGAATCGGTACGTGTTGTGGCTGGTATGGATGTGGATGATGTGGCAGTGGAGTTGCGCCTGTTCGGAGTCGCGTATATGGCCTCCATGCTGGAGTCTACCTCCATGCCGACTCGCGCACGAGTCGCGTTATTGGGGTGTTGAATTCATTGCAGTAGCGTTACATGCTTTGACAATTCGGAGGAAGCGACCTTCGCGATACATGTCAAGTGCTGCTGAAATCTAGCTTTTTAGCGGATCTATGTAGACGTCTGTTTAGTTTAGTGTAGTGAACAGCCATGTTTCTTTAGATGAAATCATATGATGATCATGATCCTGTATTTTATGTCGTCTTGAAGGAAAACTTCCTTTCTCGGAAATGGTCCAGGATCTATATTGCTGGATGTGCGTCACTACTTAACCCTGCATGTTCCTGAATGATTCGTGTCTACAAAAATTCAGTGAAGTTCTTGATTTGATCTTCTTATCGATAATACGACCTTCATCAGGCTCTAGCTTGATTAAGAAACTATTTCTCGTAGAAATGTAACTCTATTTCGTTACAACTCGTTTCAAAACATTCAATTAGTATCCCCTGCGGAAGTAGGTTTCACGGTTTCCAGAAACCGTCGTCTCTAGTAAACACTGCATAAACAGAGCATGGTGAACGTGTAAACACTGAGTAAACATGAGGCTGGTCGCGGGACACGGAGCAGATACGAGCTGCGGTGGCGGAGACGGACGGATTCGTGCTCTCACCACGCCATCTGCAGTGGCGCGTGCACTCGTCTATCCTCCCCGCCCCGGGGTCGCTCCCTGGCCCCGTCCCCGGCTGTCCGCCGGTAGTGTTACAGGGCACACAGTCCCACTGCCGGTAGCTGTGTGTGTATGTGTGTAGGCTGCCGGGCCGACCGGCGCCGCGCGCGGCCCTAATGGCTGTTTGCGCCGGCTAATGAAATGCGCCGGCTCGTGGCGGGCGCGCTGTTTGGATGACGTGGACGGCGTGTCCTGACGACGAGTTTGGCGGCTGAGGTCAGCGGTGACGGCGCTATCTCGGTCCTCGCCCCCCCCCCCCCCCCCATCAGCCGACGTCACGCGTCCCTCGGCCCTTCCGACCGAGACCGGACACCCAGGCAGTAGCCACGTAGGTATCCTCTTACTTCCCCGTCTGCCCACCGGACCGCATGGACGGGCAGCGGGCTCTCCCCTCCCTTCCGGCCTCTCTGTCAATGGCGTCATCCGGGGTGAGGCGTCATCGGCGGATGACGGCGGATTCCAGCACCGAGGACATCGGCTGGTCGCCGGCGCCAGGCACCACACTCGTGATCTGTTGTATACTGATGGGCGCCGCGGCGCCATTCGATGTGCATGGCTGATGATTTGGCGCGGGCGCCTCCATTGACCGTGTTCGCCCGATTTCGATGCTGAAAACTTGCAGCGGTGGGCTGCGACTGGCTGAAAGAGGGGTTGTTTGTTTATAGGTCTTTCCCGTGTCAGTTTATCGTGATGTTGTTTGCTCGGCGGTGCTGCTGCCGCCTGCCTTTGTATGCACGGTTTGACAATGGTGCTACTGATTGGTGAGTTATGCTCTGTAACAATATGTGGGACAAACATCCTGTGTGAACTGACACTTATGTCCGCTAACACTGTCCGCACGCCGTGCCGAACACAGTGCAGTCAGTGTCCGTCTTGCCCACAGCTCTCTCACTGACGTATCGTGTTCTCTGAGTTCCATCACTGACTCCTCGCAATCTCTGTGCCCCCTCACTGATTCCCCGTGTTCCCTGTGCTCCCACACCGACTCCCGTGTTATTCGTGCTCTCTGATCTCCTTCACTGATTCCCGTGTTATCCGTGCTCGCTCGCCGACTCCCGTGCTCTCCGTGCTCCTTCACTGACTCCCCGTTATATTCGTGCTCCCTCGCTAACTCCTCGTGTTCTCTGATGTCCCTCGCTGACCCTCGTGCTCTCTGTGCTCCACAGACGACTCCATCTCCAAGGAGAAGGACAGTAGCAATCCGTCGGTGGGCGTTGGCGTGGTCCACTCCGTGCCACCAGTGCGAGTGGAGGAGCCGGTGGTACACAGCGAGCACAAGCCGTCGCTCGGCGCGGAGCGTCACCCGGAACCCAAGGTCAGTCGACGGTCAGGTCATGCCAGGTCGAGACGGTCGATTGGCGTAGACACCTGAGCGGGTGGAGCGCTGAGAATGCTGCTGCTCTTGTGGGTGAGGTGGTTGACTAACCGGGTCAGGTCAGGTCTGGTCGGTCTCATCGGTCAGCCACAGGGCCCTGTTTCATGGCATGTCGCTGCCCATTGCTACCACGTACTAACGCTTCAGTTTCCATGGAACTATAAGCGAAATTGCCAAATTTGTTGATGTTTCCATAGAAACTGAAGCGGTAGCAGCGAGTAGCGGCGTGCGGTGAAACAGGCCCAGGGGCCGGCTCGTAGTGGCACACCGCGGAGTGGTTGTGTGCCGCTCCGCCCGTGCCGGCTGCTAGGGGACCGGGGGCGCGCCGGTGATTCGCACTGGAGGCACGCTGCAGATTCCAGGGCGGCGGCCGAACGTGAGCAAATGCTCCGCTCCGACTGGTCCGGTCCAGTAACCGGCCTTGGCGGCGGTAGGGTCCATTCGCCGCCGGCTCACCCCGATAAAATAGCCCTTATGCGCTGGGCTGAGTCAGCCGCGCACCGTGAGCGCCGCGCCGCTCGTATCGCGCCGAATTTGTCACGGTGCGGCGCCGGCCGCCGCGGGGCTGCTCGGCGATGTGCCGTTCTGCGCCCATCCCTCTACCCTTCCCGCGGCCGCTCTGAGTCCCCGCTGTTTAAAGCTCCCTGGTGTATTGGTCTTGGTCCCGTGGGATATCAGTTGATAACTGTGTGGACTGTGTTTTCTCCTGCCACCTGTTATCGTTCGGTCCTCTGTGTGGTGTGTTGTTTGTGCTGTGCCGTGTGGTACGTCTTTTGGTGCCGTGTGTCTGTGTGTGTGTCGTCCGTAGTGCCGCTAGCTCTGTAGCTCCGCCGCGCTGGTCCCGACCGGCCCGGCTGTCACACCGCTGCAAGGCCGTCCGGTGTGCGGCCCGGCTCACCGTTACCTGGCCTGGCACATCACCCGGCAGGAGGGGGGGGGGGGCACCGGAGCGTCACCCTCGCCTCCGGTCGGACGGTGTGACGACCGAACTCAGTGCCAACGTCCGAGCCCTGCGCTCTGCCCAATCTGCCCAGACAACCGTTATTTGCTTGGAATGTGAAAATGGGGCAGCGCAAGTGGCGGATAGCCGCGGCGCCTACAATTGAGATGTTTGTGAGATAGATAGGTGCGCCCTCGCCGCCGGTGAGCCCGGAGGGAGGCTGTCGGTGCGTTGTACTGCTATTTGTGGTTGTTGTACTGCATTGATTGTGTAGGTACTGTCGTTGTACCGCTGTTGTACGGCTGTTGTACCGTCGTGGGCTCCGTTTGAGTGGACTGTCGTGGCAGCAGTGCAGGTTTACCTGTGTGTCGTAGCAGCTGTGGTCGGCCCTCCCCTCACCTCCGCTTTGATGATCGCTCATGGATTCTCTAGCGCCCATGCCATTTTCTTCAGGCAGATTGTGTCAGGATAATCGGTGATTGTTGCGTTCTTGCGTTCTGTGCTGCTCCATAGGATCCTACTGTCGCGCTTTGTTCGCCCTACCCAAGCCTGAATAGAGGAATGTGGTCCATTTGACCTCGGAGCCTTCCGCCCTCCCGCTGACTGGACAGACGTGTGCTGACCTCCGTGTGACCCCGCCTCTCACCCCTGACCTCGCCGCGGCCCGGCTCTGACCTCCCCGCTCACCCGTCAGCCGGCGCCGGCCGAGGAGGACGAGGATCTGTACGACGACGACGACGACGACGACCTGGTGCTGCCGCCCGAGGTGACCCTGCAGGAGTTCGAGAACGTCGAGAACGAGCTGCAGACCGTTAAGGAGAAGGAGGAGGAGCTGGAGCGCGAGCTGGAGCTGGAGCGCGAGCTGGAGCGCCAGCGCGAGGCCGACCTGGCGGGCAGCATGGACGGGCTCGGCACCAAGGCGGTCGATCGCAACACGTCCTTCTTCGCGCAGCCCGGCATCCTGGCAGGTGAGAGCCGTGGGGAGAGGGGAGAGGGAGGGAGAGAGGGTTTACTCGCCTCGCACCGTGTCCGTCGTGGCGGACTCCCTATAGGGAACAGTGACGTCATTTCCGATAGTTGAAACGACGTGCCGTAATCCCCATACCCTTGTTTGTTAACGCGCCCCTAAACAAGCAGAGATGTGTCGTAGTACTTACTGCTCGCTCCCCATGGTCAATGGCATGAATCATCACACCTATCCACCTTATAAGAAATCATTGGTAGCATGTGTCGCCGCCATGCGCTTGACACAAATCCACACGTTTTCTCTGGCCCACCCGAGTTATCTGGTGCCAAGAGTCTGATCACGCACTGGTCACTGGGAAGTTATTGCGCTGTGAGGAGCCACTGTAATGTATATGCTCCCATACCGGCCTCCTGACGTAAGCGGAGCGCGTGCAGTCATCACATGGGCGGGCCATCAATGCCGTCAACGGTGACACAGCGCGGCAAAAATGTGAACTGGCATCATGGGGATTGACGCAAACGTTTGCCGTAAGAGTGATTGATTTAATTTACATTGGAAAGCGGGACATTTCATCAGCTCTTCTCTCAGCGCTATAGCTTTATTCGTCACTATTACTCGGCGGCCCTTATGTACAAATGCATAAGAGCCGTCTGTACAAATGCAGGGGTCACAGGTCAATGACAGATATGTACAAAGGTCTATGAGTCAGGACTCTATCTATCGGCGCCCTTAGACTGTGCCGGCGCGGTGGCGGGATGGTGGGCGGCAGCGCCGTGCTGATCGGTGTCTTTTGCCACCGTGCTGGTGGTGACCCCCTGTTGTCAGTCGGGGTCAGGTCGAGCTAACGCATCTCGGCCATTCAGCGGCTAAAAAGAAAATGGCGGAATGTTTGTTTATATTAAAGAAGTTTGAAAACACGGAAGTTCCCGAGATAAACAACATCCAGGATTTCCCTCCGAGCATTAGTTCAGTACTGCGCAGTGCTCAGCGCTCCGGTACAGCCTCATTCCCGGGTCATCGCTTCCACTCAGAAAGCTGATGACGCAACGTTCTGCGAAACGGCGTCAACGTCTTCTTACGGGCTACTGGGGATTGGCGGCATTATGCTATCTACTGTGACCATATGCAATGTAGGTTTGCTGGGACGAGTTGGCTTAGTTTCGGTAATTGGAATGTCATTCACCGCAATCCTAATACGTCGCCAGGGCATCGGTCGCATTTCCCTATTGTCCAACCGTGGATCGACTGCCATAGAGAATATGCCCATTATCTGTGCGCTCCGGGCGCCGTAAAACCCACATAAATCATCATCCTCAGCACAAGAAATTATCATTGGCATCATCCGCCCGCCTGTGCCTGACCGTTCGCTCTCTGTGTCATATTCCAGCCGTGGTCGGTCTGCTCTGACCGTTCCTCCCCGCGTTTCAGCAGCGGTCAGTCTGACCCTCCCTCCCCTGTTTCAGCCGTGGTCGGCGGCGCCGTGGTCGGCCTGCTCTGCGCCATCCTGCTGGTCATGCTCATCGTCTACCGGATGCGGAAGAAGGACGAAGGATCGTACCCAGTGGACGAGCCCAAACGCTCGCTCACCGGGGGCAACAGCTACAGCAAAAACAAGGAGTTCTACGCGTAGATGTTGCCGTCGCGAAGCTGACAGCGCGCCGCACAAGTGCGCGTACCTGTGTTCGTGTTTGTCAGACTGTTCCGTGTGAGTGAGAAAGATGGGTGCCCGTGTAACCATAGAGCTGTAGATAGAAAGTGGTGAGCGTGAGAAGCTGAGTGAACAAGAGTGAGCGAGACGATTGTCGGTGTCAGCGGGTGTGCGAGTGAGCGAGTGAGCGCGTGCAGTGCTGAGTTGACGCCGGGACCACTCACACCCTGTATTTTATATGTATTCTGTGGCGCTGGCACCACGTCAATGGGCCTGCCGCGGGCGCGCCTATGACTGATCCAAGCAGCTCACGGCAGCGGTCGACGACAGCGTCACCTACAACGGCACTGCGCCGCCGGCAGCGCCACCTATCACGGCACTGCGCCGCCTGGCGACGCTGGTGTTTCCGAGCACGCTCTCGTTCCTATTTCGTCTGAGGCCGCGCGGGCCGGTCTGAGGGAATAGGGCCGCAGCGAGCGCAGTTCGGGGAGCGCGGCGGAGCGCGGGACCGGCCGGCCGCCCACTGCCGCCGCTGCCGAGCCGGCCAGCTCTGTGCCATATCCGCCGAGCGGGGGCCGCTGCCGCCAGCCGAGAGGGCGCAGCCAACGCCGGCCACAACCTGACGTCCGCGGGAGATTATCGGTGTTTAATAATTATTTTAGCGCTTATAGGGACACAGGAAGGTGTTTCCTTTGTGGTTGATGCTTCTTCCTTAGGTCTTATACTTAACTGGACGACTCGACTTTTACGTGGTTGTACAACGAGTCTGCGAGATGGTTTGTCGTTAACGTTGTGATGTGCGCGACTCTGCGCGATCGGGCAGGGCCTCCGCAGTGATGGCGCGGGGCGTGCACATCAGCCCCACGCACCCGAATAATGTTTGTACGGAACCAGAGAAAGAATACAAATTCATTAAGAAGCGCGTGTATTTCGATGGTGAGCTCAGCTGTGCTTACGCCCCAATGAGAAACGGGCGCGTTCCATTTTTAAATTTCATTTTGAGAGGAAAATGTGAACTAACGATGTTAACGCAAACTATTGTAGTGGGACCGCGGAGTCCCATGCGATCTGAATCTAAGGCAAGTGCGAAGGTTCGCCAGTTGACCTTGTTGCCCAAAAAGGTGCGCCGTCATTCGACAAGGCTAGACGGATATGAAGCATGGATCATTGCCGTGCGACCACCGTTTTAGTCGAAGTTATTGACCACAAACCAGACCCCGACCTTTCGGTCTGTGACCTGACCAGAGGTGAACGGTTGGCATCACTAAATCCATAACGGCTCACGCACACGCTTTTATAAGCACTAACTAGGTCAATCGTGAAAGAAACTGCGAGAGGAGCCGTATCCGCCCCCGTTCTAGCTCATGCTGATGTAGAAATCGAATGGCTTCGGTCGGCGTCATGCTTGAATAGCTTTGACCTGCTAAACTGTAGGCGGAACCGCGAATTAGCACCTCTACGTTTGCTAGTCCTTGGTTTGCATTTTTACGGCCAGCGCGCAAATTTGCACCTCTACGTTCGCCGGTCCTTGGTTTGTATTTTAACGGCCAGCGCGCGAATTTGCACCTCTACGTTCGCCGGTCCTTGATTTGCACTTTCAAGGCCAGCTCGGCGGTCTACCTCGTGTGTTTGCACCTTTGCGGCTGTCTGTTACCTGAATTTGCACCTTCACGACCGCCGGTCTGTCTCCGGTGTCGCGGGTTTACACCTCCACAACCACTGGTCTGCCCCGCTCGCCGCCGGCAATGGCCGGCCGGCTGCCGTGACCTCGGGTCAGTGAGAGGTCGTCCGGCGCACGGGGAGGATCGCGCCGCGCCAGAGACATGGATCACCACCAGACCGCAGTCACAGTGTCGGTAAGTGAAGTGTCCTCTGTCGAGTTGATGCCAATAAGTGTGAATAAGACGTGGTAATGTGGTTGCTTTGAAACTTTCCTACCAAATGTGTGCAAACAGGAATGATGATAGACTATCATGGTGATCGTCTGATCGTGGAACGCCTAGGCGGAAGGTCCACTTTTAACTCGGTTCCTGGTCCACATAGTCGATAGTGAGGAGTGGTCTACGGTGTTCAAACGGTTATTTGTTGTGCTTCAGTCCGATATTTGGTCGTAACAATTGCATAAAAAATCAATAGTATGCCTAAAATGGAAGCGATACCTCTTATTTTTTTTTTTCAAATATTTTATTGGTATGCTGAGTCGGCTAGCCAGCTCTCTAGTCTGGATGTGAGGTGGACGGTGAAAACAGGGCGCATGGGGCGTTTTGATCGAGGTTCTTGAAATTCGCTTGCGTAGACCACGTGACCAAGATTTCGACTTGGCCCGTAGAGGGCATAGGGAGAGCCGAGGGGAAAAACTTCTTAGTGGTCTCGTGACTAGGTACGAGTATGGCAGTGTGCCATATCATATGCCCTCCCGGGTGCCCTGTTTTCACCGTCCACGCGGTGTGACGCCTCTCCCTCCCTCCCTCCCCTCCGACCAGCTCTGGCTGCGCTCGGTCCTACCCTCCCCTCCCTGGCAGTGCTGTTCTCCCTCCCCTCTGGCTGGCTCTGGCTGTGCTACCCCCTCCCCCGCCCCCGACCGATGCTTAGTGTCCTCCTCCCCTCCAGCCAGTCTGGCTATGCTCTCCTCCCCTCCCCCGTCGCACGTCTGGCCGGCGCTGGCTGAGCTCTCTTCCCCTCCCCTCTGACCGGGCCGGCCGCTGTGCCTCAGGCATTGGCCGCCCTGTGCGTCCTCGCCGGCGCCCAGTCCTGGTCGGACGCCGCCGTCTGGGGCAGCGATGAAGCCGCTGAACGCTCGGTGGCCGAGCTCGCGCCGTTTTTCCCAGGTGAGAAGGCGCGCTGCCGCCACTGATAATCCTGCCGCTAGATGGCACTGGCAGTGAGCGCCTGTAGATAGGCTGTACCGCAAGACACGTAGCGGCTAGAGGTAGACGCGCGCTTCGACTGATTTCGACAGTTCATACACCGCAGCGTAGTTCTTACGTTTCGAGGTGTGTGAATTTATCAGCTTTAGGGATGGATGCAGGGCATGTCAATCCATCGCGGGAATCAAACTGGTACTCGGTTCGTGTTTGTCCCTGTCTATCGTGTATCTGCTGCTCATGTCCGACCCTGTCTGCTGAGTGCGGCCAGTGTCTGATCCTCTCTGACCCTTTCTACGGTGCGTGTCTGTTCCTGTCTGGCCCTGTCTGTCCGTATCTGACCCTGTCTGACGCTGCCCCCCTCCCACCTCCCCGCGCAGGCCCCAGCTCCCGGGTACGCTGCCCGGTCGGCTGGTGGCTGCTGCTCGGCCAGTGTGAGGATGTGGACGAGTGCCGCGACCCCGGCAGCCGGCCGTGCCCCGGTCTGCACACGGTGTGCCGCAACACGCCCGGCAGCTACCGGTGCCAGTGTCTGTCCCGGCACACGGGCGACCCGTACTCGTTCATCGGCTGCCGGCCAGGTGAGCACTGAGCACTGAGCACTGAGCACCGGCGAGCACTGAGCACCGGCGGGCACTGAGCATCGGCCGACGCTGGTCAGCCGTCGACCTTTGCCGCCTCCCGGCAGGGCGAGCTAGGTTTGATTTTAGCCAGATTGGTCAATCTACTTTGGTAAAATCTGGAACTCGCCAGGCTCGTTTGGCGTTCTCTTGCACTCATATATGCTCGAAGAAACGATATTTCTGTAGATTAATGTCCATGAAATGTTTCTTTCACTGGCCGCTTAGAATAAAATTGCGAAGAGCTAAACAACGATCACCACTCGCTATTAGCATGTCTTAAAAACCAGGTGCTAGAAATAGAGAGAAAGACAATACTTTGACAATTCCAACGTTTTCAGATGATGAAATTTGCGACCAGTTCACGACCACACCGGTTGTCACAACTACCACTACCACAGACACTACCACCACGGACACTACCACTATCACCACAGACACTACTGCTACGGACACCACCACCACTACCGTCACCGTCGACACGACCATCACTACAACCACTACTACTCCGACTACTACCACTACCATCGGCACCCCAACAGACACCACAACCACCACACCACGAGAGGGTACCAATGTCCCAACTAGTGTCGCCACCACCACCACCACCACCACAAGCCCCAGCACCACCATCACCACCACAAGCCCCAGCACCACCACCACCACAACAGATGCCAGCACCACCACCACCACAACAGATGCCAGCACTACCACCACAACACCAGATGCCAGCACTACCACTGCAGGTCCTAGCACCGTATCGTTTGCCGGCTCCAGCACCGACGGCTTCACATTCGACTTCAACATCACCACCACCGCCACAGCAACCACGGTCCCAGGTGAGAGGGAAGGAGGAAGAAAGAGGGAGCCGGGAGGAGCGAGAGCGGGGCAGGGGGACGTGTTTTTCATTGAGAGCCCAGATCGATCCGGTAATGATCATTTGTCTTTCTTGTTCGTCAGTACTCAGTTCCGTCAAATTCATGCTATTTATTTGCGTGAATGGATGGGGAATATAGTATACGAAACGAGCATTAAATAGGCTGATGTTTGTGAAGCTTGTGCCGTAGCTGATCACATGTAACGTGACTTAGTTCATCAGCGATGTTCAGCACGGGTCAGCAGTAGCACCCTCAGATCCGTATCAACGACCTATCTCTGTTCTGCAGAGATCCCCAGTGGCTACTCGCGCTGCCTGCTGAACGCTGAGAGCAGCACCTCGTTCTACCGCCTGCACACGGAGACGGCGCAGACGTGGGATGACGCCAACGCCATCTGTGCCGAGGACCACCCGAACGCCCACCTGGTGAAGATCACAGACCAGTCTGTCAACGACTGCCTCAAAACGGTGGGCATGCGAGCGTTCAGCGCGGCGGGGCGTTAACTGGGATCGATCGAGAGTCCTGCCGTAACTTTGGATCGGGAAACGATGCATTGACTTCGACTGTGGCCGAAAAAGGCGTGGTTGCGACTGCTGTAAGTCTAAAGAATTCGAGCTGCTTCAGTTATGGGTCAGGAAAAGAAGTTTCTCTAGGCGGTGGTCTTGGGAGACAGAAATCGCTCAATTGTAAGAAAATGCAAAATTTAGATGGAGTGAAATGGAAAGTGAAATCACACGGAGTCTCGAGCAGAAGGAGAAGTTATTTTCATTTCAAGCTTCGACTTCGTAAAATGACGTTCTTTGAACCAGAACTATGTGTTAATAAGTTAGGGTCTGTTTCAGTGGTTCCTGTTCCATACCAACGTCTACTACTCTTGGATCGGCCTGCGGTTGCAGAACGGCGAATTCCGCTGGACGGACGGTGAGTGGGTACCCTTCCGACTGTTAGCGCCCCTCGCTGCACCCTGACCCGGCAGTTGGTACCGACATCGCGCCCCAGTCCCCACCCCACCCGGTCGGTGCCCCCGTATTTGGCCTGGAGCTCTACCAGTGAGATTCCGTTAGCAGTTCTATGCCACGTAGTCCCTCTGACTACTGCCTACTGGTCAGTGAGTTGCATGGCACATACGACACCTGTGACTTCTGCTAATTTCAATGCCCATTGTACACGACCATTGGATATTCGGTGACTATTGACTGACTATAACTCACGTCCTCGACCTGGTAAACTATGACCTCAGCGGCTCAGAGGCGTGAGCACTATGAACCCCGTGAGGTCTCTGATCGCCCGACTTTCCTGTGTTGCAGGCACGCTGGCGGCAGGCGTATATGAGAACTGGGATACCAACGAGCCACAGAACCCGACCCAGCGCCAGTGCGTGCGGCTCTACAGCCTGGACGGCTTCTGGGAGACGGACGTCTGTTCGAGCCTCCACGCGTTCTTCTGCCAGATCACCGTGTGACCTCAGTGGGCGGACGGCATGTGACGTCATCGACGGAAATATGACGTCAGTGATGATACGGGGCCGTGCTTTTTAAAAAGCTTATCAGCTGGTCATCGGAAATCCAGATTAGCTCTTGTGAATGAAGCATGCCAGTGAACCGCACTTGATTCAAGTTACCAGCGCGGGCCATGTCTGGGCCTGCGCCAGGTCAGGGGTGCAGGAGGCGTCGGCTAGTGCGGTAGATGTCGCGCTATTAGCGGCTGGTGTTCGACCGAGTGCCGTCGAAGTCTACCCCGGACCCCCTGGGCGCCGGCTGACAGGCAGACCCCGAAGTGATAAACATCCGTGGAGTGACTGAAGACAGTACCTCCCTGTTGTCTGTTGATTCATGAAGCATGCCATTTTATTGTAATCGCTTGCATGTTAAATAGTAAATACACCCTACGTCGAATGATACGGTGCGCTCCGTCTGTCTACCAAGCATGACTCGTCATTTTTCGCTGCTGGTCCATCGTTTCCAACTGATCAGCTACCAAATTAGGCCGGATATTCGCGACCTTGAACTAGCGGTTCTCGGCTGAGCGAGAGCCGATTCTCCTGAGCGGACCAGCTGGGGTGAATGGACTAGTTTGAGGTCGGTGGACACTTGTCATGGGACTAGAAACCCTGGATATCTTTAGGAAACTAACCCCGCGTTCGATGTCTCTCGGACGACTAAGATTTTACGTCGTCCGGCCCATCCCGTCCAAGGTCAGCGGGGGCTCGGCTACGGTTATGGAACGTGATTGGCCGGACTGCGTAGAATCTTCGCCGTCCGAGAGACGTCGAACGCGGGGTAAGAGAATAGCTAGTTTCACCGGACAGTTACAAATAAGGGTAATACAGAGGACTGACAGATTCAGCGGGGCTGGACCTGGACGGACAATAGGTCTGGACGCCTAAAAGCTGCTACGATGAGTCGTGCTTTGGATCAGATGGGTCCTGAGCGGCGCAGAAGATGCCACAGGAGACTGAGGACTGAGGTGCATATGTGGAAACTGGAAACCGTCTATGCGATCCCATCTCTGTTTGGCGCATTCCAACACCTTGTCTCTCCTGAATCTATCCGAGCGATATAGTACGTGGATACCTAATGGATCCAATAAAGAGCTTGCATACAGGGTTGGGCAGATAAATTGGGACAAAATACATATTTGCATTCAGAACGCCGTAGCTTAGAAATTTGTAAACGTAGGCATTTCAAATTTGGATCACATATTGTCACACCAATTTTACACATTTATAACCAAATATGATCACTGTGGTCCACCTGCATCAGTCCTTATCGGTGCCTGGACTGGCCGCACGCGCGGCGAGATCTCCCTTCTGAAATGGCTCGTAATTGTAGCCAACTGGCACTGCTGAGGCTCACCACAGTCACATGGGGACGTTCGTTAGACTCGGCCGCAAAAACGCCCCAGCAACCAGAACTTGTGTGGGCTGAGGTTTAATGAGGGAGGGGCCATTTAGCCTTGGGTACAGTTTCCGGGATCCTCCGTTTCAGGAGATTTTGTATTTAATTTACTGTATGCCGGGGAGCTGACTCCTCGAAGGGCATCACTCCATGCAGGATGATGCCTTCTTCCATCTTGTTGATTCGAACTGCCGAAATAATGGTTAGGTACGCTGTAAGGGCGAACCCCCTCCCGATTCCGTAAAATAAGGGGGCCCCACGTGGCCGTCAGAAGTCACCGAGTGGAATGCCATCACCGAGGTCTGCTGCATGCTTTTTGGAACTAAGATCACGTCTTCTGGGCTGGTTGCGATGTTTCATGGTGTTTGCGGTTGTTCATATGTTCGGTTATGGAGATACCATCGTCGAAAAAGACCTGCACGTGCTTGCTCGCTTCTCGAAGTCCTTCAAGAGGAAACAATCTTTTTAACGTCACAGCTGCTTCAACATCTATGTTAACAGGTCGATATGCATCAATGCATAAGAGTACATGTTTGAGGTGCTGGTATATCGCTTTCTCATAGCGCGGCTACCTTCGTTGTAAGTTCGCTCCACTGTTTTCGCGAGGATCCTCTGATTTAACTGAATTTTGCCTTTTAGCCCCCCTGGAAAACCGGGGGAGCGGCCGGTGTCAATGCAATAAGTATGTAAGGATGAGTCAACATCTTCTCTTCCTCCAACGTTTACGCCTGTTCGATACACACTACTTTCAGCCATTTGATGGAGCATAATTAGAGTATTGGCATGCATGTGGGCGCGGACTAAGTTGATAGTGACTTGCTTAAGCCCACGTTCTGTGATCAGCCGATTCAAAATTACAACGCAACCTGCATAACATGGAAAATATTCATTAGCCTATACTTACGTTCAAAAATTATCTTAATCACTCAAAAAATAGTCGTTTTAGAGGAACTTGAAATTTGTCCCAATTTATCTGCCCAACCCTGTAGTAGACATAGGGTGGCTCCGAAGTAGTGAGTGGGACATACTCAGTTGAGCTCGCCTGAACTCTGAGCTCGTGACTTATCGTCTATCAGGTGGGGCTCGGCTCAAAGTTCAGCGGCGATTTCTGCAGATAGGGCAGGTCTGTTAAATGTTTATTCCACGAGTCCTTCAATGGTTGGCTGAGTTAAATAAACATGGAATGAGTTGCTTGGCACTTAACCATCCGAAGACACAATCTCACCTCTCTCGCCCCATGCCTGAAGACGCTCCTGTCAGAGATCGATTGGATAACACATCATCCACTCGACGATACTGATCTCAGCAGACCCCTGAGTAGCCGACCTGGCAATGCTGCCGCCTCACCCTCCCAGACGGTATTCCTGGATCCGCCTCTGTCCAGTCTAGTCCAGTGGTCATGCGACTGCCGTGCCCCACGACGGTCCTCCCTGACGCCGCCCCTGACCGGCCGGCGGAGGGGGGGGGGGGGGCGGCTCAGGCAGAAGCCACTCGGGCCTTGGTAACAACTGGATTTCCATTACGTCATGGGTGATGATGTCACACCACGGGTGACGTTTCACTGCTGCTGCTGCTGTCCACGGAGGGCAGCGTTTGTGAGTGGAAAACAGTTGCAACATTGTAAATGAAGGCAGTATTGGCGCTTATGCTACATATGAAATTTATAACAACATATTGATATTAGTGAACACTCTTGCTTCAGATTTCTTGCGGGGAGGACGTGGCAAGAACAGCTGATTGACTTTCTAGTGGTGACGTGGCGGTGGAAGACATCTTGGATCTTTAAGTTTTTGGTTTCAGTTTTGTTTAATTTCAATTCGTTCATCATTTATAAAATCCCAGTGCACAACGGTATGTAAAATGAAGCCGGGAAGGCCCGGTAAACGGGTGAGGGCTGATGAATCTTTTTTCGATCAAGGAAACAATGAAAACTCCGGGTCGTACCTCAAAATCAAACTCCTCTCGGGGAAAACACTTAAATCCAGAGGCTGGCCATGGGTGCAGTTAGGTGTTAGAGGTGTCCTGGGGGATGTTGACAAGTTGGAAAAGGCTAGTTTTTTGACTGATGGATCTTTGCTCGTCAAAACGAAACATGCTCTCCAAACTGAAAAGTTTCTGAAAGTTAGGAAATTTGCAAATGAGGACTGTGAAGTATTGAAAGATGAAAGGCTGAACACATCACGGGGCACTATTCGTGCATATGACTTAGAAGAACTTAGCGAGGACGAGGTGGTCCAGTGGCTAAAGGACTTTGGGGTTGTTGGAGCAAAGCGCTTCACCAGGAAAGTGAATGGACAAACACAAGGGACCCCAACCCTGCTACTTACCTTTGACAGACCATCCTGCCCAACAAAACTGCAAATGGACTATGTGACATACCACGTGCACACGTATATACCAAACCCCCTGCTGTGCTACCGGTGCGGCAAATTTGGGCATGCTCAGGAGCGATGCACTAAAGACAAGGTATGTCTAAACTGTGGACAAATGCCTCATGAGGGAGAATGCACGCCCCAGTGCATCAACTGCCGACGCACTGATCATGGGTGTCAATCTCATGACTGTGAAACATGGCAGAAAGAGAAAGAAATATGTAGGATCAAAGTGGAAGAGGAGGTATCTTTCAGCCAAGCCAGGAAACTGTATGATGACCGCCATGAGCCCCCTGTTCTCAGAAATTATGCTGCCACTGTGCGCACTCCACATATTACTGGAAGGCAGGAGGATGAGGAGTTGAAAGGAAAGGTAGAAAAGCTAGAGAAGAAGGTAGATGAGATGATGACATTGCTCAAAAAACTGACTGAGTCGCAGATCACAGAAAGTACCTCTAAAGGTGCTGCTAGTACAACAGACACAGTACGTGTAAAGGAAACCCAGAGGGATGTATTACAGAGATCGAGAGGTGATGAGACAATGGGAGATGCTACAACAGACAGTGATGAAGGGGAGGTGAATGATACGAGGAAAACTCATGAAATTACGCAACCCATGGAAAGAGATGAGGGAGACGAAATGATTCAGACATGTGACTTGACACAGACAATAGACACAGTGAAAAAGACCAAAGATGCTGCCAAATGGCAGACTGTACAAAGGCAAAAGGGTTTAGGACGAGGAAAAGGCAAAACCAAACCACAGGTATCTGCTTGTCCAGATACCATCCCCCCCGCTCCCCCGCTTGTGAGAGCAGGCATATCCAATGAAAGAGCAGGGGACAAACCCATGACAAGAAAGCAGTCATGGGTAGATATTTCACAAGCGGCATCAGACAACTGATTGGAGTGAATAGTATATTCACTAGTAGCTAGTTAGTTTTTCTTTTCTTTAAAAAAACAAAACAAAAAAAAAAACAAAACAAAAAAACAAAAAACAAAAAACAAAACAAAAAAACAAAACAAAAACAAAAAAACAAAACAAAAACAAAAAAACTTCTCTAAACTCTAGAGGCAAACACATACTACACCATGGTGAAAATAATGCAATGGAATTGTAGAGCATTGATTGGAAAATGGGCTTCTGTCAAACCCTTCCTTATGACCCAAACATGTGATGTTTACTGTTTACAGGAAACTCACTTCCTTCCATCAGATGAATATGATTTTAACTTGCCGAATTACACAAGGTATGATGTTTTTGGCAATGATGAAAGGAGACAGGGAGGTGTGTGTATATATGTTACTAACAGGATTCCTCACAGACTGATAACTGTGAACACCAACTTACAAGCTGTGGCCTGCTCCATACGAATGGGCAGCTCAACCATGCACATCTGTTCTCTTTACCTACCCCCCACTGAACCTTTACAATATGAAGAGTTGGAAAGTCTGATTAAGCAGCTCCCGGAGCCCATGGTTATCTGTACGGATGCCAACAGTCGTCATATGCTTTGGGGTTCGGATCGATGTGACCGAAGGGGAATGATATGGGAACGTTTGATCAGAACTTTTGGACTCAATGTTCTCAATGATGGTAGTGCTACTAGAATTGATGATTACACTGGGCTGTACTCCCATATCGATCTGACAGTATCTTCAGGATCAGTCGCCCCCCACGCAATGTGGATGACTGAAGATGATCCTCATGACAGTGACCATTTCCCAATTTATATAACACTGAATAATGTTGTTGACCCTTCACAGGACTCAGACATTTTTTATGGATGGAACTTAAATAAAGCAAACTGGAATGAATTTAGAGAAAAGTGTACACTCAACTATGATGATCAACTGGGAGTAGAAAACTGCAAAGTTATGACAGACCTTATTGTCTCAGCAGCAACAGAGACAATACCTAAGAAAACTGGACATGCAAAGTACTGCTGTCCTTGGTGGACAGATGAGTGCAAGAAAGCGATTACAGAACGGAAAAGGCTATTAAACCGATTTAGGAGAAATAGAGAGGTCCCAGGACTATTACTTGAATATAAAAGAGCAAAGGCCAAAGCCAGACAGGTTATTAGGCAGGCCAAGAAAGACTCCTGGCTTAAACTCCTTAGCCTCTTCAATTACCAGACCCCCTTACCCAGGTTGTGGGAGATACTGAGGAAATTCACAAGGAAAACGAGATACAACAGACCTTTACCCGTACTCAGTATAGATGGACGTATTATCGATGATACTTTTGAAGTTGGGAATACACTTGGACGATACTTTGAAAGCATCTCCTCGCAGGAGAACTACTCAGAACATTTTCGTACACGAGTTGATGACATTATTAGAACTATGCCTGATTTCCGTTCTAACAATGCTGAATGCTACAATGACTTATTCACCTTACCTGAACTGACAAACGCCATAAAACGATGTGGAAATACGTCTATAGGACCGGATAGACTGCATTACGCTTTTTTTAAACATATGGGGAATACTCAATACGGAGAACTTCTTAAGATGTTTAACGCAGTCTGGACGGAAGGTATTTTTCCGACAGACTGGTCACATTCATACGTGGTCCCTATCCTGAAACCTGGGAAGCCGGCTTCCAACCCTCAGTCATACAGACCAATTCAACTTACCTCATGCATGGGTAAAATCATGGAAAGAATGATAGCTGAAAGGCTCAAATGGTATACCGAAAACAAAGGAGTGCTATCGAAATACCAGTGTGCCTTCAGGAAAGCACGATGTACGGTCGACCACATTATCAGACTGGAATCAGAGATACGACATGGATTCCTCTACCACAAATATACGTTGGCAGTATTTCTGGATTTTAAAAGTGCTTACAATTTAGTGTCTACCCCTGCCCTCCTTCTAAAGATGTATACATTGGGCTTCCGTGGAAGACTGATGAAATTTGTGGAAAACTACCTGAATGGAAGAACCTTCCAGGTGAAGTGTGGTCGATTATCACAGATTTTTGAACAGGAGAATGGAGTCGTCCAAGGGGGAGTTGTTTCGCCGATACTTTTTAACCTGATGATAAATGATATTTTTGAAGGTATTTCAGATGAGTTCTCCTATGCTATGTATGCAGATGACTGTGCAATTTGGTTACAAGGAAGGCATCTTCCACAACTAATAACAACCATGCAAAACGCACTTGATTCCTTGGTGGAGTGGGCAGATACGTGGGGATTTACTTTCACGCCTACCAAATGTAATGCAGTGATATTTGGACGATATATGAAAAGAACTGAATTAGATCACATTTCCCTACTACGGATTAAAGACGAACCAATTGCATACTGTGACAATGTAAAGTTTCTTGGAGTGTTTCTGGACTCCAAGTTAAACTTGAACAAACATATCCAGTACGTTCGAGCCAGAGCATTGAAACGCATTCCCATATTGAAATGCATATCCGGACGTGAATATGGTGCCGACAGAACCATTCTGTTGAGGATGTACAAATCCCTTATACGTCCCATCCTAGAATATGCCTGTCAGGTCCTTGATGGACCAGCAAACAATGCAGTGCACTCCCTTGAAAGCATACAGAACGCGTGTTTGAGGGTAGCTACAGGAGCATTGCGGACTTCTCCGGTAATGGCACTGCAGGTTGAGTCACATGTACCGCCACTCTTCCTACGACGTTGGGAGATGACTATCAGATATGCCCTAAAAGTGACAGGATACGATGAACATCCATGTCGAGACTACATTGACGGGACCTTTACTCTACCTGACCTAGAGTGGGGATATATTAAGCGAATATCTGGATTCCCCTTCTATGAACGTCTGCAACATGTCGCCCGAAACCTTCGGATAGTTCTTCCCAATGATGTGACGCTTAAAGCCAGTGCTTACCCTGTATGGCAGCGACACCAGTGTGACGCACATAAACTAATTGAACAGCAGAAGGCTAATTTGGAGAGATGTGATGTTTTGCAGGCCTTTGAAGAGTTTAAGGGTACACACCCTGGATATCATTTCCTTTACACTGACGGTTCGAAAAGTGAAAGGGGCGTGGGATGTGCTTTCGTGCACGGAAACATGCAGTATAAAACGAAACTGAAACGTGACTACTCGATTTTTACAGCTGAGTGTGTTGCTTTGCTCCAAGCTGTACATTATGTCCAACATAACCAACTGGCAAACAGCGTCATTTGTACCGACTCCCTCTCGCTGCTATTAGCCCTGCAAACAAATGAAAGTAACCACCCTATGGTTACCGACATTAAGGATACTTTGCATTGTCTGAAGGAACACAATCTGCGGTGTGTAATCCTTTGGGTCCCTGGACACTGTGGAATCTACGGGAATGAACAGGCAGACCTTCAAGCAAAACGGGCTGTTTTACTAGATAGGACCGAGGAGGAGTATGAAGTGTCTGTGCAGGAATATGTGTCTTTTATCCGTGCAGCATGTTTTGATCAATTTAATAGCATGTGGGTAAACGATACTCGCCAG